CGGACGTGATCTCTCGATGTCCGAGTACATCTCCAATCTACTATTCGATTGTTGTATGACAAGATGGGAGCCACCGAGTTCCTGATGTCATGTACGCCTCGTTGAGTCCACCATATACACCAGCCATATCGACACTCCTGCCTACCTAGGTAAATTGTCCTCGGAAATCCCCCGTCCACATTAGATAGCCACAACCATAGACAGTAGAGTCTTAACTCAATCCCAAAACAAACACCACACCCACCCCCCCAAAGACCACGCACGCGCCTCCTCTACCGTCCGCCACCTTTCCTCCCTCACGGACTATACCAAAGCAAGTAACTAACCAGACCAGCCCGGGCGTCGGGGTCGGACAAACTGAGCCAAGTGAATCAACTATAAATATCTCCGATTATCATAACTGTAGTAAAACTAGCCCGTCTGACCTCCCCCCTCCAAGTAATACCCCCCCCTTGCACATTGACTTTGGCTGCACTGACGCGGGCCCCGGGCCCTCCCCCTGGTAGTTGTACTAAGTTAAGTACGCGGGTGTTGGGTGGGGTTCCGCGGCGAATCATGGAGATTTGTTTTGGGGTGGATATCATATCCTGGATACCTGCTTACCTTGATATTACCTTATACTGGTATCTACCCAGGTATGGAGATATGACTATCTACGTAGGTGTAATATATATTAATATCGAACATCCCACTGCTTGAGTCTTGTAGCATGAAGAAGAACAAAATTAAATAATCCACATACTCTAGTACGTCAAAAGGAAAATACGAACTAATCTCCCATCTCGAACCTAACAACAGAGCTACAAATTAGCAAGGTACTTTGGCGTACTTTTAGTCGAAACCTTCACCCTCGCCCCTTGTTCCAGTGTATTTTATTCCCGCGTCACGGATCGTATTGCGGCTGATTATGTACGCTCTATTTCTGTTCTGGTTAGTCTACTTTTACCCTGGGAGGACTAGCGAATTAAGGGGAGCTTTACTACTCCGTACTACCAGGTACCTAGTACCTAGTGCTATCTACCTGCCGAGTACATACGGAGTACGGATACTACTATGTACATCCAAGACAATGTACATATCTTTCTACATAACTAGCACAAATGAACGGTTCATTCGCATCCATCATTGGCTTTGAGTCTTGACATGCCCATGCTTAGCACGGAAATCTACTATATGTGCGGAGAGGTAGTATGGTGATGATGAGCGTCGGCGCGTCCGGAAAGAGTAACCTCAACGAGTGACAACCTCATCTAGCTCAGCAACTTGACTCGGCCTGGGGAGTGGAGTCAACTCCTGACTCCTGTCAAAGCAGTAAATGCTAGACAGTGAGTACGATATTAGCACACCCCCAATTCGAGGATTCCGGCCCCCAAATGACAGCCTGGACTTGGGGATCTCCAATCTCCCCCCAACGGCAACCACAGGGCTAGCTCTTCTTGGATGAACGAACGGTCTGGAGATTGCCAACGTTAACCCCGGCCGGTGACGAGACTACTGTTCGGTCAAGGCTCGGAGATATTCACTAGCAGAGGATGATAGGCGGGGGTGGCTCAAGAAGGAGTACTTAGTTAGTCGCCGTTTCTTTCTGCGGTTCCTTCTCCTCCACCATATACCGGATTCGTGCGGTTGGTCTCGGGTATACCCACGCGTGGGGGTGAATGGGATATCAGAACGATTATGCCATCGGGGGATATGATGGTACCTTTAGTTACCTACCTGCCTACCTGCCTACCTCCCTACCTCCCTACCTACCTACTTACCTACCTACCTACCTATCTACTTACCGAGTAGGTCGTACGGACGTACGTGCCTACGTACGTATTGTCCACCCTAAGACCCCTCTATCTTTCTCTCACTCTGTTGGTCTGTCCATCTCACATGCATGCATATAGTCTCGCCACCGTAGCCATCACGAGCCCCGCAGAAGTGTGATAGCCACCGCAGCTGAGCCATAATACACCTGCCCTAACCAACCACAAGCAGACCAGCCTCAGCTCCAACAAGACCCTAGACAGACGGTCTAAACTAGTGGGGCCTTCTACCGCAGACCTACCTCGTCAGGCCTCCGCCTCCGCCTCAAAGAAGGGGGGGATGGGATGCAGTAATCAAACTAGAGCCATGTCAGGATCCCAACGGGGAAATGCATGGCCTCATCGTTGTTTGGTCCTGGGGTAGGTTGGCCAGATCCCGAGACGGCGAAGCCCGTAAGTAACCAAGCGAACCTCGTCTGCACATCAGATAAAGGTGTCAAAAGGACGGGTGACGGATGGGGTGACGCTAGGGGGACAAGGCAACATGGCATAGCATGGCATGGCCTGGCATAGTTAGTTAGTTAGTTAGTTAGCATTCCGCGGTCCCCAGTCGATCGACCGAACAAGCCCAGTCAGTCCAGCCAGCCAGTCAGCCAGCCCGGTCTAGCCTTGCAATTGGAGGATACCTAAGATAGTACTCTGTAGACAGACAACAAAGATGAACACGCAGGCAAAATGAGTCAATCAGTTCAATCAGTCTTGCGTCAGGGCAACCCCCCCACCCCCCCTTCCTCTCCTATCAGCCACAAACAAGGGGCGGTTTAAGGCAACTTGGTGTAATTTCGCCGATGACAGTCAGTCAGTACACCCCGCCACGGGACAAATAACGAAGAATGATTGCCTTGCGTTGTGGGCTTTGTGGTTGACCATTGGTAGGTTTTAATGATTACTTGCCGCGTGGTTTGCCGTTGGTTTTTTTCTTCGTCTTTCTTTCTCTCTTTCTTTGTATTTTGACTTTCTTCTTTTTTTCTGTTCTATTTCTTTTTTCCGTTTGTTTTCTTGTCTTTTTTTCTTTTCGTTTGTCCAGACTAGCAGCAAGCATATTCTGAATGATTGTGCTATCAACCCGAATCTCAATTAAGAGGATCTAAGCTGGGGGACTACAGTAAGTTAGGTCCCGCGTGCCACAAAACGGAGTGAAACAGCCAAACGGGAGACTCGAGAATGAGTTTCAGAAGCAGAAAGAATGTGTGCAGTTTCTATAATTATCCCGATGGTTCAAGTGAGGAGGTCATGTTTGAGGATTGATGGCGTATATCAAAAACACGCGGACTTTGGGATGGATCTTGGCTGGATGGGTGGTTACTGGTTAGTTGCTGGTTAGCGTCCGCTGGTATGGAGTACATGGTATGGTGTAACAAGCAATACCAAGTTTGGTATTTTGGTATCTTGGGCCGGATGGCGGGTCACCGATCCGGTCCGCCAGTCTGACGGGCCGAAATCCCTGTTTTATTATTCAGTTTATTTTGATTCTCTTCTCCTATCTGGGAGAAAGGAGAAAGATCAAATGTAGTCGGTATATGAAATATTAAAGACAAAGAAATCTTCTGATCATGTCCAAGTAAAGTATCTTATATACCAACTCACTATCACTCAAATAGGAGAATCAAACAGGATGCACTAGGAGAGACACAACGGGTCGGTCAAGCTCTGATTAATCTATACCGAGCTGGCGCTTTGACGATGACAAAGCCTAGTCCCATCCAGTGCGGTCCGGTCCATTTAAAGTAGGAGACCGCGAGAGCTCAGGCCTCATCATCCGAAACTAATAGTACCTAGTACTTAGGTAGTAGGGACTCCCTACTAGGGAGTGACTCGCACGCCAACCCGATGGAGACGACGTTTGATTATGATTATAGTTCAGGGGGAGAGTCCGAGGGGGGAGGAATAGAAAGACAGGTTCGAGAGGGTAGGACTGTTTTCAGAGTGGATCGACTCATGAATTATAATCCGGTGGACATTTTCTCCTATTTTGATCCTATTTTGATTTTTCGCACTAATGATTCATTGCTCGATTTTGGAAAATCTCTGGACAGTTTCATATTCCAAACAGTGTTGAGATCCAATCTGGATGATCCTTCGGAAAGGGAGGGGGAAGAGAGGCGAGCAAAAGGACGGGACAGCAAGATCCATGTAAGACGACATCATCGGGACGAATAATAATGACGGTCCAGGGCTGCACCTGCAGAAATGGCGCACGCAAGCGCCATGGGCACCGTACTAGTAGTATTTCCAAGAACGGTGTATGTTTTATCATACCAAGTTTGTTAGTGATTCCACTGAGTGGTGATCATCCTCAGATCATCCTAGGACGGTCGAGAGAGACGGCGCAGGGCGACATCTATCAGTCTAGATACGGGGAGGGTATGCTAAAAGTTTCAGCTTGACTTGAAACTGGCTGGACTGGGTGGATAAGGATGAAATGGTGGATGACCAGATGTAAAGGGGAGGTTGATCACTGAGGATTGAATAATCCAGCCTAGAAGATTGGCATTGTCTGTCGTATCCACTCGAGCAGCGCATGTGTCTGAGTCTGTTCCGAGACCCACGATGTGCCGGGGGGGGATTTGAATAAAAAATAAAAAATAAAAACAATAGAAAGAAACATGAAAACCAGAGGAATGACTCGAACTGACTATGGAGGGATTCGGCCATGGATAGAAGAGGAAAGAATCAAATCAAAGAATCATCAATCGAAACAAATCGAAAATAAATCGAAATCAAAAAGACCAAAAGTACGAAAGCAAAAAAGACCGAAGATGATTGGAGCGGGGAAGCAGGGAGGGGCAACATCCGCGGGAGGACAAGAAGCAGCAAGTCGCCGCAAATGGCAGTCCAGTTGCCTCGATATGATATGATATCTGGATGGTACGGAGTATCGTACGGGGTATACCATCCAGTATTGGGATCATTTCTCTGTTTGTTGGTGGATAATCATGGTTCTTTCAATATGATAATGGTCATGATGATGATTCGAATTCTAATTCTCTATTATAGATTCTATGACTTTATGGTTTGATAATGCTATATTCTATTCAATAGACACCAGACAGCCTGACGCCTCGCTTCGCCTCACCTCGCCTATTTCCTGCTGGTTTGATTCTGGTCTGCTTGGTTTATTTTATTCTTCTGTCTCTGTTTATTGATTTTCATTCGTTCGTTTTTTTTTATTCTCTGATTCTATTTTCTTTTCTTTTTTTTTTCCCTTTTATTTTTAATTATATTATTCTTCTATTGCTTTTTATTATTATCTTATTATCTTGAGATATTATTATCTTATTATCATTTGAATCCTCCACAATATTAGACCTCATTCCTTTCCTCTCCATATCTCCTGCCTTATACTCATCCACTCCCATCCCATATCCTCCCCCACTCATTCACTCCTCACTCCTCACTCCTCGCTCCTCGCTCACTTACTCACTCACCTATCATCTATCGCCTTCCACTCCTACTTTCCCCTCTTGTATGGCCTTTTCGTCTCCTCCTTTCCAATTCCAGAGTATGGTTGACAGAGATCCTTGGTGATCTGTGCAAGATGGATGGTTCGATCCCTCCGTTGTCTGGCCTCTCCTCCGCCTCTTCCTCCTCATCCTCGGCCATCTTCCGTCCTCGACGATCCGACGACTGGCTGGAGTATCGTCCTGCCATCGAACAACTCTATCGCGACCATCAACTCAAACTGAGAGAGGTCAAACGCATCATGGAGCGTGATTACAACTTTCATGCATCGTATAGCTTACTTTTCTTCTTCTAATCTCCCCTTCTTCTTCTTCCTCTTGTCCCCAATCCTGCTCTACTTTCCAACTGGCGTTGATCATCTGTGTCTTCCTTCTTTTTCTCTGGCGTCCTGTTTGTTCTTCTTTCGATCGACATGACACATCAGTCAAGACAGACCCCTGACACTCTGACCGCTCCAGAGAGAAACAATATAAAGATCGCCTAGCGTCGTGGCACGTTCGGAAGAACATCAAAGCCAAAGATATCAAGATCATGATCCGAAAACAGCAGAAACGTGCGGCCCGGGGTAAGCAGACGGCCTTCCGGGTGAATGGTCAAGAAGTCGACCAAAAACGTATCGCTCGATTCGCCCGTAGAAAAGGCACCAACTGGGAGAATCATTCCCGCGACAACGCCGCCCAGCCCAGTCCCGAACCCGGTATGTCTGCCGGATGTTTGCTATCTCATTGTCTCTCGCTCATCCAGCCAGGTACCCCGACCGATATGAGTTGCTACACTCCTGATGGCACGGACAGGGCCTCCACCTTGTCCCCGCTGCCCGAATTCCGATCCATCCGACGTAATTTCCCTCTTTTTTCTTCTGTCTCTTTCTTCCCCGTGGCTGGGGATCTCAATTTTGACCAATGGACACAGGTGACGAAAGATCGGAGCCGCTCCCAGATTCAGAGACGGACGAGACTCGGTCCATGCAAGTCACTCTCAGTCCCAGCCAAGCCAGCACGACGACGACAAACGTCTTGGACGACAAGTTCGCTCCTACGGAAGAAGACCCGTGGGCAGCGCTCACCGACTTCCAAAATCGACTGCGCAAGCTCGACCATGACCTAGAAGTGTCATTGGCCGACTACGTCTCCCCTCACGAGCACCACGAATGAGCCGTCGAATGGGGTCGAAACGACCGTTCCCCTTCAGTCTATCCGTGTTGATCAGAGTCACAGACTTGCCCGTCCCATTGCCATCTGCTCTGTACCATCTTTATGTGTTTTGTGAGACCTTGTTGGATCTGCGTTTCAGTGTCTCCCCAGAGAGCTGTGATGGCTTTGCTACAGGAAAGGTGAGGCTCTATGTAACGTTCTGGTATTTCATCAAATGCAAAAACAAAAAGAAAGAAGAAGAAGAAAGATGATAAGATCCAGAATGGGATCACATCTGGCCTCTCGTTTGGAGCTCCTACGGTGATGTCTAGTTTGGTGTATCCGGTCTTCCATGTACAATGCTCTCCGACCATGATGTGCACATGGCCGTGGTTGGATGTCAGGATTCCGCCCATTGTCTACTTACACCCACAGCCTGTACAGCCACAACACCTCCCACCAAACCATACACGCCTCCGTGCCCTTGTCGATCCCATCGTTTTGTCCTCCCTCAGTCCACCAGCCCCATCACAACCATCAATCCGGCACCAATTCGAATCATCAACGACATCAGCCAAGTCGCAGTCCACAGACTCAATTCGGCCGTACTCCTGACATCCGAAGAAGACACCAAATCTACATCACGGGACCCCCCGATCAGATTCACAAACGATCAGCTCGTTTACCGTCAGCAGTTCGCAGTCCCCGCGCTAAGCCTCCGTGGACCCGACCCATTGGACAGAGAGACAGCCACAGACCCAAACCCAAACCCAATACCCAATACCCAGCATGGTGACTTTTTTTTCTTTCATGACCTAATTTTCCTAGACGCCACATGATCATAGGGCGCGGTAGATCGGCAGACAATACCCTTGTCATGTACATGTGCTATTAGTAGTACTCAGCATGTATGTACAGAATAGTATATGTACAGAGTATGCCTACCCACCACATAAACATACAAACCATAATAGTGTAGTTAGTCCACGGATAATCAGACGACCTAACCAAAACCGGTCAAATGACGCAACAAACCAACAACACTCAGGAATAAGATTCCGACCCAGCAGACTCTAAAAGTCCCATGCATCCACACAATCACCACTCAATCAATCAGCTGAAATCCACCACCGTCAGTGATCACCGTTACCGCTGGCTTTAGCACGGACTTTCTCAACCCGTAAGCGGATTGGGCCGCGAATTGTCCGAGGATTGGAGCTAGTGAATGCGTTATGATGTCATGATGGACTTTTCGTTGGAGGACATCCGCTTGGAGGGATTGTCCACTCTGTACTCTGTCCTAATTACTAAATAAGGAAGAGGATATTCGAGACAGTCTTTTGCTAGAATACGTAGTGCATGTGGCTTGTCGATTGGATAATGGGTTGGATTGGCTAAGTAGATCATCAACTAACCTAACTAATCTAGCAAGATATAATCGCGTAACATACATGATTCTCCAAGATAGGTAGGTAGATAGGTACTAGGGTGCTAAGGTCTCAAAATCGAAGATCATCCTCCAAAAGAAAATAGAAGATAAAGGCTGAAGAAATGACATCATCCCTCTTCTCTCTTCCTCTCGGCGGATGTCTATCGTCTCTCTTTTCTCTCTTTCTCTATCTCTGTCTCCTTCTTCCTGACTCTGCAGATTATACTTACCTAGGCAGCTTCCTGTAGGTGATATATCTCCTCTACCGAAACTCACCAAGGTAACCAGAACCTGCCAATACACCTCCATGCGAGTTGCGTGACAGGGACGATTATAACTCGAAAAGGTAAGTCGCGCATTTTGTCGGGTTATACAGTAGTTTTTCGAAGTCAGTCACGGTATATTGTCCCTCCCCCACAAATAATATGTTTGGACTTTCTCCGGACTAGACGTGTAGAGAGATGTTTGGGAGGCTACGGTGGTGATATATGTGTATAGTAACACTAGCGCTCTAACCTGATAGCAATGGTGGAGATGAACCCTTAGGATGAACCCTGACCTTGGCAAAAAGCGCTTTCCTTTCTATCCTCCCAAAAACATCACCGTATGTAAAAAGAAATAAAAAAGAATATGTACATGGAGTGATAAACGCATCGTCACTCCAGCGTTACGTGTGGACTACCTACTTTACAAACAACTATATCAATCTCGCTGAAGTAACGGAAATGGTCGAGCTGCCATGGGCGATGCAGCCGCCGCGAACGAGGACACCATTCTCCACCCAGGACTAATCTGGCGGTAGATCTGCGCGCACTCGCTCAGCAGTTCTGTATTGTTTCCGCGGTGGTAGAAGGTGAGCGATTCGGTTGTGCGATTGTCGTCGCTGTCGCCGCTGACGCCGGCTGCTGATGCTGGTTGAGGTAATGATGCTGATGATGCTGACGATTCACCACTGCCTAGAGGGGAGTCATGAGTACCCGCGTAACCCCAGATGACGACAGAGGCCATATGAAGAGAAATAAAAGTCAAGACGTTGAAGCTAGCGTGGAGGTGTCAATCGCGGGCGCACTCGTCCGTCAGCAGCTTGAGGATTGCGAAGGCGTGCAGCAGGGCTCTGTCGGCTGGTTCGCCCTGGGACCATTCGTATATGTGGTGGATGGTTTGGGTGGAAGAAAAAGAAGAAGAAGAAAGAAGGCGGACGGAAGTTGCGGCGGTGTAGGCGAGCTTGTGGAGCATTTCTACTTCCGCGTGGATGCGAGTAGCGAGATGTGGTACAGGAGGCGGCTAGTGAGTATCGAGTGGCGCTCTCTGGTCAGTTGGGGTCGTCGGACGCTGAGGTCCATTGGTTGTCGCCATTTTTCGATGGCGGAGAAGGTGCGCTTGAGATCCAGCTCTATGTCGGGCATGAGGCGTGTGGAGATTTCGAGAGGGTCGTTTGTTGGTGAGTGTTGGAAGATGTTGGCCCAGATGCCTTGGGAAGTTGTTGTCGAAGCGGCACTACTACTGCTACAACGGCTACTTCTGCTGGGCTTGGACTTGAGGTCGCGTTGAGAATGGAGGCCGACGAGCAACAGCTCGTACTCTGCTGAGCGCAGACTCGGGAGAAGTTCGGTGCGGTCTATGGCGATGCAGAATCGATCAAAGAAGAATAGATGGTGTTTCTCGGACTCTCCCCACGCTGTCGATTTATCCTCGCGCGGGGTCTGTGGGACGAGCCGCGAGGAGAAGGAGAAGATGATGATGATGGTGAAGGAAAGTCATGGATCCGCTTGTGTCGCATCAGAATGTCTTTGCGGTAGAAGGTCAGACGACAGGTCGAGCACTTATAGTTTAACGTCGTGCTGTGACTGACAGTGTCTGGTGAGAGACTCTTTTCGTTGATATTGGCGATGGCAGGTCCCGCAGGAAAGCTGCTGCGTAGAAGTGAGGATGTCACTATTTTCGGAAACGGAAGTCATTTCAGTCCATCTCTCGAAGTGTTCTTCTCTTTCACTTTTCCTTCCAAAAGAAAATATACGGATTTTCTCCACACTAAATAGTCGGGATAATTGGGTGGGGTTTTGGGGCCACTTTGCGGGGAAGAGCCTATACGGTAACGGTAACTAATGCACGTCCTCACTAGAAGCTGGAGCCAAACTAAGAGGGGAAGGCAGAGGTGACAATTGAATGCACTGTAACTATTAGAAGTTTTGGAACAATCCACTGACCTTCGTGTTTTAAAGATAACACGCATCCTGCTACAGTAAAGAGCAATACTGACATGGCATGTCGCACCTCACTCAGCCACCAAAAGAAAAGCCGTAACATCATCTGTCAAACAGCGTGTCTATGGTTGCGACGACACACAGCTCGGGGCGAAAGAACATTCATCATGTCAAAAGATGATTCGAGGAAGCAAAGTGATTGACATGCTGGTATCCTAGCTAATACCATAATAGATCGAGACTGTTTTGTTCCTTTCGAAACACGTCCCTCGAAGGGGGATATCTCCAGGCGTACATATGTCTTGCCTGCTTCCAACATGAGAGACATAATCATAGTAATCAAAAATAGCCCTATTCACAAGTGTGTCAGATTTCCATCCTCCAAGTAGGACTAGCCATGCTTGAAACTGTTCGCTGGCCGTGCTTGCGCTGGTCAATGGAGACGAACGTGAACCCGCGTCCGCAAGGATCCGCTGCTGCAATATGGCATGCGCGGTTGGTTGCATTGACTCGTGCGAGAAATTTTATCCAAACAAGAGAAGACGACGTCTACTAGATAACCATTAGGGATAGTCTGCAGGGACATTCCCATCCATTCGGTAATCTGCGGGGAATGAAAGCGGGGATACGAAACATCCACATGCGCCACGGCTCAAGTGGTATATGAAGTGATACTCTCGTTACGACTCGAAGCAAATCAAGCTCCGTTGACTCTGTGCATGCTCCACAAAAACCAAGAAAATCAAACGCCCCAAATAATCCATATCATCGTCCCAGAAAGGTAAAATTGAACATCTCAGAGGCGGTTCAAAATTCTTCGCCAAGCTCTGACAGCACCGACATGCATAGGTCGAGCTTTAACGTCAGCTTTTTGTGGAGAGGACAACGGCCAGGAGCTCTAGTGGGCAATTGCATTTAGATAGGGCTATGTGATGATTAGGTGTGTTCAGTGAGCAAAACCGGCAAGGCATAGAGAGTAGAACGGAAAGGGATGACCAGGAAGTGGTAGAAGAAATCAAATACACACATGAGTAAGTACTCAGATACCTAGGTATCTAGTCTATCTTTGAATACTTCATCGAAGATGTCAACCTAGGGCATGGATAAATATATAGTAGATAGAATACACACTTATAGAGCTTATGATGACGTCCGAGTGAGACATCGATAGGCAAGCAAAGAGATTATCTGCCTTTTTTGGTGTAGTGATCGGCTGGATGTGTAATTGTAGGTTGATTGAGTAATTCTGGGGTGTTCTTTGTAAACGGTTGCTCTTGTAGTGTTGGGTTTTATATGGGGTGGCTTGATGCATTGTTGACACTGTTTGGATGTACTAATGTAGTAGGTAGGTGGGTAGGTAGGTATGCGTAAACTGGATGACTATTGTCTAGATTAACAGTTTACGCACTCAAACATGGTCATCATGGTCAAAATGTACTTATTGAGTGAATACATGTATACTATATCAACTTCGATGACGCCTGATACAGAAAAAAACAATTACAGCTTAGCCTGCCCATCCTGCGCATTATTATTCCCCTGCCACGCAAACCCGATCTTCTTCCCAATCCCAGGCTCCACAATCAAATTAATCACAGTGACAGTATCGCTCAGGAAGCCCTCGCGCGTCGCCTGCTCCAGCTCCTGCTCGGTGCGCACAAAGTAGCCCTTCCCGCCGCACATGGTCGCCAGCATCTCGTAGCGTGTCTCGTACAGCAGACTCGTCGACCGTAAGCCCTTGGTTGCGTCGTCTCCGCCACTTCTGGTGTCGTTGGCTGTCGTTTGGGCCTGCAGCGTCTTCCAAGCTTCTTCGGACGTGCTGTCCCCGTGGTAGATGCCTGAGTTGTTGACTACGTAGATGAGTGCTGGGATGCGGTACCGCGCGAGCGTCTCTATCTCCATTCCGCTGAAGCCGAAGGCGCTGTCGCCTTCTAGCGCGACAATCTTCTTTGGTTTGGTACTGGCTGCCGTGGGAGTCGCGTTGAATGCTTCGTGCGCGGCGACCACGTAGCCCATTCCCACGCCCATAGTCGCGTACGTCCCTGCGTCTAGGCGCTGTCGGGGGTGGTCGAGCGGGAAGATCGAGCGCGAGATGTCCATCGTGTTGGCGCCCTCCGAGACGTACACCACGTTGCCTTCTTCGGCGGGCGTCAGCTCGTTGATCGTCGTCTTGATGATGTGGTATGCCCGCTGATACGTCAGCGGCGTGTTGGCCGGTGTCCGACGGAGGGCCGCCTTCTGCGCCTTGTCCTCGTTCTTCTTGGCCGATTCGGCCAGAAGTCCTGGGTAATGGCCCGGCGCCGGTGAGGGGCCGTACCGCCAGTTCGCCAGCGAGCTGGTCAACTGGTCAACCACCAGGTTGATGTCGCCGAGGATGCCCAGCTCGGCGGTCCCGGCGTTGCGGCCGATCTCCTCGGCGCAGATGTCCACCTGGATGATCTTCGCCTTCGGGGACCACTTGGGCGCCTCGCCGAAGTGGAGAATCCAGTTGAGCCGCGCCCCTAGCACGAGGACGACGTCTGCGTTCTTCAAAGCGGCGCTGCGCGCGCTGGACGTATTTAGAGGATGAGAGTCCGGAACGATGCCCTTGCCCATTGGGGTCGGCAGGAACGGGATCTGCGTCTGCTCAACCAGCTCGCGGATCCCAGCTTCCGCCTGCGCGTATGCCGCGCCTTTGCCCAGAATCAACAGCGGCGCTCGAGCGCTCCGCAGCAGCTGCGCCGCTTTCCAGATCAGTGCCGGATCGCCAGCTGCCTTCGGTGGTGCCGGCACCAACATGGTCTCCGGGGTAGGGAGGGTGAATTCCGCGGACGACTTCCCCTGGATGATGTCCGCCGGCAGGTCGACGAAGGTCGGACCCGGCCGACCGTACCAGCACGTGCGGTACGCATTCTGAACGGCGCCCGAAATAAAGTCCAGCGAGGTCGCCCGCACGGCGAACTTGGTGTGCGGCGTCAGGAGCGACACCGCGTCTAACTCCTGGAAGGCGCCCTTGGTCACGGCTGTCGTTTCCGCAGACCCCGCCAGCACCAGCAGCGGAAAGTTGTTGGCGGAGGAGTTTCCAATCTATACGTCGTCAGTTAGCAATGTTCAGTGAGTAATGTGGGAATCCCACCGATCGGGGAACTTACTCCTGATAACGCGTGGAGAACACCTGGTCCTCCGACTACCAAACAGACACCCGGTCGGCCGGTGATATATCCGTAGACGCTGGCCGCATAGCTGCAAGCTTGTTCATTGCGGAATGCAATGAATCGAATGCCGAGGTTGATTGCCTCCTCGGCGATCTCCACTACGGGGATGCCGACGATGCCGAAGATGACGGTGACGCCGAGGTCGCGCAGGGACTGGGCGATAAGTTTCGCACCTGTGGTGGGAGGCATGACTGTGAGCGATTGCGGTATTACAATAATTAAAAATGATGGGAGGATCTCATCGAGGGGGGAGGTGATGCATGTGGTTCATTAGGCAGATGGAAAGTGGAAAGTTGGGGTCAAAGTGGAGTCGCGGAATCGGAGAATGCGGGATGAGGAGAAGAGATCGTTGCTTTCCCGAGGGAACTGACGCAATCGGATTTAAGTGAATATTAGTAAATACTAAATAGGCAGATGGGTATTATTAAGAATTCAGGATTGAAGATCTAGATGTAGACATAGGTAGAATTGTGACAATAAATCCATATACAAACCTATCGTCTATTACATACGGGGATGCTCGGCCATTCTGATCCCATCCCATCCATGGTATCTATTCAAACAGATCAACTGCGAAAATAAACTGCGAAAAAATAATTACATCCGAAAAGACGGCCAAAGACGGTCGTCTCAATATCTAAAATTCAAACTCCTTTCGAAACACATTCACATCCATGCCGGCGACCACCTGGTCCGCTAGATCCCGTCGTCCCATCTGGCTGAACACCCGCCGCAACGTGTCGTACAGGTTCGTGCTCTGGTTCTGACTGATGTGGAGCATCCGCTCCAGCTGCTCGTCGTCGATGCCGCCGTCGCCGCCGACGATCTCCCGCGCGCGCTCCCGTCCCTCCTGCTCGACGACCCGGTGCATGGACAGCGCCCCCAGGAGGTGCTGCGCCGCCTCGGGGAAGCAGCCGATGTTGATGCACGAGACGCCTAGGTTGTAGCGCGCCCGCACAAAGTTGGGGTTGATGTTCAGGGCCTGCTCGTAGGCTTCGATCGCCTCCTCGGAACGGCCTGAGTTGGCCAGCGTGGCTCCGAGGCGGTTCCACAGCAGATGCAGCTGCTCTTGCTGGTTCACCGTGCCGGATTCGGTGGACGCCAGCGCTGCGGAGAAACAGTCGACGGCCTTTTCGTATTCCTCGGCGCAGTAGAAGAGGACGCCCAGGCCGACTTGGACGTCGGGGTCCATGTGCTCGCCTGAGGGCGACAGTTGCGCGGCTTGGATGAAAAGATCGGTGACCCGGTCGTGGAGGATCTGTCGATCCGTGAATCCCATGTCGGCGTCGTTTGACAGATCCTTGGGGTTGATGACCTGGGGATACTTGATCGAGAGCCACCGCTCCAGGGTCCGGTACGCCGTCGAGTCGTAGCCCTCGTTCGTGTAGGAGACGGCCAGGCCCATGAGCGCATCCATGTTGTTGGGGTCGACCTTCAGCGCCTGTTCCAGCGCCCGGATCGCGGGCAATTCCTTCTCGTTCTGCGCCTGCGCGGACCCCAGCATGGTCCAGGCCTGGATGTGCTGGGGGTCCTTCTGGACCGCCGCCTCGAAGGCCAACGCCGCCAGGGAGAGGTTGCCGCCGTCACGCATGATCTTGACGCCCTCCTCGAAGGGGTTGTTCACGCCCCGGAAGACGTTGTCTTCCTCGAACATGTAGTCGCCCAGCTGGGGGTCTCGGAAGCGGGAGTTGAGCGACTCAAAGCCGTCCCAGTCTTCCAAGTCGCCCATGTGCAAATTGTCCTTGATCTCGAATTCGGGTTCACCCTCGGCCAGTTTCCTGTTGGTGGCCGTCTCAGCTTCGGCTCTCTGCCACGCGTTCTCAAAAGCACCGTAATCTTGCGCGTTACCGGTGCTGGAAATGGGGACTGACCTGTCGAGATCGTTCAGCTCCGCCTCCATTGCCGCGTTGGCCTGGTCATCCAGCTTCTGGTCCCCGGCTGTCTCCATCTGAGCGAACTGTGCCTCCCAGTTCTCGTCGTCAAGCTCGACCATGCGGCCCTTGCCCTTGTCCTGGGTGGCGGCCTCCGCGGGCTGCTGTTGCATTCCCATCGGGCCGTACTGAGGACGCATCATACCCATCCCACCCATACCACCCATGCCACCCATCCCCATGTATCCACCACCCATGCCCATCGGACGCTGGTAGCCAGACATCATCGGCGTTGCGGATTCCTGCTGCGGCATGCCCCCGTGACTCTGCTGTTGGAAACGGGCGAACTCCGCCGGCGTAAAACCTGACCCATTGTTCATCATGGGACCCTGGGGCCCGGCAAATGCGTGTTCCATACGAGCCTGTTCACCACCGTCGAACTCGGCCGCCCAGCCCGGGGAACCCGTCCGCGGGGGGGTGGCCTGGAACTGATCCAATTCCCGTCTCAGGTGCTCCATCGCAAAAGGCTGGGGGGCAGCACCGGGGATTTGGCCCGGTTGTTGAGCGAATTCATCCATCATCTGTAGTCGCCACAACCAAATCACGGGAATCAACTCGTTAGCCCCATATGTTTTCTCTCTTCCAATTAATCAAGGCCGGAAGCCTAACTCCGCACACAACTTACCGGATCTTGACCACCCATCATACCCCTAGACCGCATGCTCTCCTGCATGCCCCCCGGGCCCCGTCCAACAAGACGGTCCCGTTGCAGGGACTTATCATCCTGCACATGCTTTGTAAACTGAGTCAACGGGTTGCCCGCGGTCGAGCACTCAGCGCCACCAAGGAACGACATGTTGTAAAACCAAGAGAAGAGACGGCGGATCGTTATATCATAAGAGCGTAATACCTATCTATCATAAGAAGGCAACAACAAAACATGAATCGAGAATGAGAAGAAGGGAAGAAGAGGAGAGGACGATGTTCACAAGCGCCAACCTCCAAAAACGTGGGGTTTCGGCGCCCTAAAGCCGATCGGGAAGACTGGCGGGTGCCGAGGTTCGCCGATAGTCACGTGGAGATTATTCATATTGATTAGTCAGTGTGGCTGGTGTGTCTTGTGTGGCTGATTGATAACGCTATCAGTGCTGCGCCATAAATGTCCCGAATAGGTTAGACACCGGAAAATCATGCAAAATTATTGAGACGCCATGATCGGATCTGGTTCCTTGCTGCTGCTCGTTGATTTCTTGGGCATTGGGGGTTATTCCATGATTCAGTCATTGAAGAGACGTCGCTATATTTATTGTTGAAAATACGCACCTCCCCTTGGCTGTCAAGATTGTCAACGATCCCCCGTGGACACATCATCTAGACTCCACATCAATCCTGATGCAGGAAACGACTACCGAATCGTCGGAAATCAAACGCCTCCACATCACCCCCTTTGATCCCTCTATCCTCCCGTCTGTTCTGCCCGCTTCGATTCGACCTCTGGCGTCGGAAATTTCCTTCCACTCGATCGCGACCTTTCCGGAAAACAACTACGGCTACGTGAGCCTGCCTGCGATGGAGGCCGACAAGATCAAGAAGAAGCTCAACGGGTCGATCCTCAAGGGGAAAAAGTTCAAGGTGGAGGCGGCCCGTCCGTCCAAACGGCGCAGGGATGATGATGGTAGTGAAGACGCGAATCCCACGCCCAAGTCCGACAAGAAGTCCGACAAGAAGTCCGACAAGAAGTCCAAGAAACGGAAGGCGACGGAGAACGTGGTGGAGGGGTACGAGCTTCCGGCGGATCGGCACGTAAAGAGAAGTTGGACCGAGTCGACGGGTGCCAAGGAAAAACGCCGGACTGAGGAAAAGAGGAAGAAGGAGAAGGGTGAAAAGAGTGAGAAGGGTGAGAAGAAGGGTGAGAAGAAGGCCAAATTGCAGGCCAAGTCGAAGTATAGCGAGAAGTCTGAGTGTCTGTTCCAGGCCAAGCTTCCTCCAAATCGCGCCTCCATCGGTGAAAAGAAGGACAAATCGTCCAAAAAGAAGAAGGACAAGGACCCCTTAAAAACTACTGTCCATGAGTTTGAAAACACTGTGACATACCCCGGCTTTCTTCGTGCCGAAGGCGAGGATGTCGCGCCTGTGTCTCGATTCGAGGAAGGGAAAGGCTGGGTCGATGCGTCTGACAATGTCAAAGAGAAGCCCAGTGATCGCATCCGGACAAAAGACCACAAACCGGGGCAGTTGCCCGGAGCGAAGGAGAAGCGGCCATCGCTCAAGCGTGCTCAAGCCAAAGCAAAGAAGGACAAGGCATCTAAGGAATCTACGAGCGAATCGGAAGATTGGACTTCAAGCGACGCCTCATCTGACGACAGCTCTTCCGACTCGGAAGACGACGACGACAGCGTATCTTCCGGCGCATCGGAGACCTCCAAGACTTCTACGGCAGAAAACAAACATCCGACTGCGCAGTCCAATCCCGCAGATGCAGAGGCAGATTCCAGCTCCTCGGGTTCGGATTCCGAGACATCAGTGAAATCGAACGAACGTCCGGCAGAGACCGCGAATGAGCCAAGCGCGAGCGATGTCCACCCGCTCGAGGCTCTCTTTAAGCGACCGGCGCCCAAAACTGCCGAGAAAGCGCCAGAACCAGAGCCCACTGCACAATTCAGTTTCTTCGGACAAGGGGGTGATATCGACTCCGACGAGGAAATGGGAGAGCCTGCCCCCACTGCTGAGGCTTCTGAAGCTCCTCAAACACCGTTCACGAAAAGGGACCTGCAAAGTCGGGGTTTAAGAAGCGCGGCCCCGACCCCGGACACGGCCCAGGTCAATCGAAACATCAACTGGGATTCGGAGGAGGAAGATGACAGCGCCATGGAAGCCGGTGTCGTCAATACGCCGCTTCGAAAATTCGGGGCCGCAGAAAACGCGGAGTCCGATTTCGCTAAATGGTTCTGGGAGAACCGTGGTGACAACAACCGGGCTTGGAAGAAGCGACGACGCGACGCGGCCAAGGAACAGAGACAACGAGAGAACCGGAGCAAGGGAATGAAAGGGAAATCGTAGTGTTGGGGTGATTTGAGGGGTTTTGAGGGGACTTGCATCAGCAAATATAGCAGGCATCTGGAACAGTATATTTAGCTAATAGAGGAAATCCATCTACCATTTCTGGTCAAATATGCGCATGACCCTAGTCTATCCATCTCTACAGAAATAAACAATTGTGATTGAATAAGAAGCTCTACAATTCCATCGTAAATTAGGGCATGCGGTGTCTGCGGACGGAGACAGTCACATGACGCCAAGCACGCATGACGACGGGCTGCATGTCTGGACTCCGTCAATCAACACAATTCATGAACTGGAACGTTTTGCGATGACAGGTCGAGCTATCCACCCTTGACCCGAATACAGTTCATTTTAAGTGTCGGTGAGGGGGCAAAAAACACACATATCCCACCATGACACGATCCAACAACGCCCCCCGTCTCTTCATCCTTCTGCTAGCCTTCCTTGGCTTCGCATCGCTGACCCTCGCATCCTGTAAGTTGAGAAAGGCGCACACGTTTAAGCAGTCGCATATATCACACACGCGAATTGAGTCTCCATCCAGAAAGCTAACATGATTGGACTTTCGCCGTCTAGCTCCCGCATCCTTCTGCAAATGCACGTGTTTCTCCAACAGTACCATTATCCCTCTCGATCAGTCCAAATCCCGGTCGCTAGGCGACGCCGAGTATCTCCTCCGCCGCAGCGATTCGCCCGACGAACCCGACAATGCGCTGGAGGAGAGGGCGCCTAAATATCGCTCGCTGAGCTGCAATGACTGCACGCGGAAGTTCTGCCTGAGCTACAAGCTGCCGATTTGCAAAGGCGCCAAAGAGGACGACGTCGTCACGACTTGCTTCCGTACGAGATACCTTTCGTTTGCCCATCTATATGGCGCATGATGTACTAACGGTAATGTTCGCACAGAGAGAGACTCCAAGAAGGATGAGGCCATTGTTTTCATCTTCATCTTTGCCACGGGTGGCCTCTTGGGCTGGGCCCTGTTCAAACCCTGGGTGGAGAAATATTTGGAGGTAGGTGTCTGCTTTGGTTGCGTGTTGGTCTGATGAGGTTGTTGTACTGACGGGTTATAGGCCGCACGAGAGCGACGCTCGTATATCCCGGTTTCTGGAAATGAGGGTCGTTAAGTCTGTGGGATGCTGGCATTTCTCGGATATTATACAGTGGAGTGTCGTGAGGTCTTGGTTTATACTTGCATACCCCATGATACCAAATATGAATTTAACTTCGTTACATATCTTATTGCGGTAGAATTCCCCAGTAGGCCCACAATGTCAACCACAGCTCTGCCTGCGGACACTTTGGGGTAGAAGTGGTCTCTGCATCGTCCACTCCTCTCCGGCACAAGTATTAGCACTTTCTTGTCTTGTTCTATCTTGAGGCTGATTAGATGATATTCAGTCTCTCAGTCCGGGCAGTTGAGTTAGGCCGCGTTACTAGGCCCCTACTGGTTCATGATCTAATCATAGTCATGTCGACCTATACATACACAAGTATATTACCCATATTTAAGAACGAACATGGTCTCTTCGTTCTACCCATTGCTTACTTCCTCGTTCAACAATAGGGGTAACTCGAACACTGCCCTCACACAAATAAGCCAAGTGTCTGACCCTTTGTTGTACTGCTCTGTTGCCCAGAGGGTTACACCGAGTCGCAAACAGCTGCGCGCACTGCTCACATGTAGGCCCCCGCGCAGGACAAGTGCGACAACGGAGTAACCGATCTTGAGCCTCGATGGGCCTTTCGCTGCTCAGTCCTTGGGAAGGGTATGGAGAGTCGCAGGAGGGGGACAATCAAATACTCAGCTTCGCCTTGAGGGACGATGCTGACCTAAAAGTCTTTGCAGGAAGTACTTTTCCGTGTCTGCTGATGTCCAATTCAGTTACACTGTGCCCTTGTTCTATAACTACCTCTTTCAATTCAATATAATGATAATGGTGATATAAAGTACGATGGCGGGCCCGTCTCCGAAACCTTAATGCAACCCCGGAATTGGTTCGGGAACGACTTTGCCACTGGTTGAACCTCACCTGTCGCCACCGCTGTTTGCTACCCCTTGTGCCGTCAGATTGATCGTACCCATCCCTGGATTTGAGATTTGATGCAGAAATCAGCGGATACGTGAGACACTGGAGTGGACGAAACAGAACAACAGCCAAAGTATCGACAACTACACCAACGGGGAATCGACAGACGGGAGAATTCCAAGATCCAATCTGACAAGTTTCAACAGCGAACTCTGAGTGTCTTGGGGGGCTTGCCGTAAGATTCTTGGATAGTTCGAAAGAAGATGATATTAACACACCAGGGAAGAGAAATCGCCTCCATCGACAAGTTTCCGACGGTCCAGCTGTCACTCCTAGGTGTGTATGCCCATATCTATAGCTAATCGATCCTGGCTAATATCCATCAGCAATATGTCGTGTCGCCGAGCCCATCGCCTTGACCTCCATCTTCCCATATTCGTGGGTGATGGTCAAGGACATGAACGTTGCGGATGGCGCTGATGCCTCGTTCTATGCCGGGATCCTCGTCTCTGCCTTTTCGCTTGCAGAGGCACTCACCGGGATGTTTTGGGGAAGCTTGTCTGACCGAATCGGTCGCAAGCCCGTTCTCCTCTCTGGTTGTCTTGGCACCATATTATCCCTGCTGGTCGTTGGGTTGGCTTCCAACTTTTGGATTGCACTCGCTGGCCGCGCTCTGGGGGGGTTTCTGAACGGAAACATTGGTGTCATTCAGACTATGGTTGGAGAATTGGTCAAGAAACCGGAGCACGAACGTGAGCAATCCTTCCTTTTGTTGTTTTTGGAGGAGGGTCAGAGTTTGTACTGACTATCGAGCGATAGCCCGTGCTTATGCTATCATGCCGTTTGTCTGGTCAATTGGCACGATTATCGGGCCAGGTACGTTTCCGATGATACATTCAAACAAGAGAAAACCAGCAGATATTGATTACTTTGTCTACTATAACAGCGATTGGAGGATTACTCGCAAAGCCCACCGAAGGCTTTCCCTCCGTATTCTCCCCCACTGGTCTTTTCGGCAGGTTCCCTTACCTTCTCCCGAACCTGGTTTGTTCCGTCTTACTCCTCTTTAGCATTATCATCAGTTGTTTCTTCCTTCAAGAGACCCACCCTGATATGCAGCCGTGGAGTGTAACCGAGGAACACCACAACACCAACACATCACCGGAGCATCCTCTTCTAGCAACTGCAGGCGCTACTGCCAACGCAGGCGCAGACTTGCGAGCCGAATCCTACGGCACCTTCAATCAGGTCCATCTCCAGGAAGACATAAACTGGACAGTGCACCCCGATGGGTCAAAATCGGAATCGGTTGCGCCGAAACCAGCACTGTTTACCACGAGAGTGACCATGCTCATCATTGCATTGGCAATTTTCACATACCATTCCATGACCTTCGATCATCTTTTTCCCATCTTCCTCCAGGATAAACATGTGAAGGACAACTCCAGTTTCGCTGGCGGAGTCGGTCTGTCGACCCGAACCGTCGGCCTGATTATGTCGAGCGACGGCATCATCGCCCTCGTCATTCAAGCCGTCATATTTCCTATCCTAGCAGAGTACCTCGGGATCTGGAAGCTATTCGTAGCCGTGACGGCTCTACAACCCCTGACCTATCTCATGGTGCCTTTCCTCGTCTTGCTTCCCGATTCCTGCTTGTTTCTAGGGATCTATATCTGTCTGGGCACCCGCAACATTCTGTCCATCATCGAGTACCCCGTCCTATTGATCCTGATCAAACAAGCGAGCCCCTCCGACTCCGTCCTAGGCAAGATCAACGGACTTTCCGCATCCGCCGGGGCTGCTTCCCGTACCCTTGCCCCTCCCGTTGCCGGGTATCTGTACAGTCTTGGTGCAGAGATGGGGCTCACCGTGCTTGCCTGGTGGGGGAGCGCGTTTGTCGCTGTTCTCGGAGCCGCTCAGCTGTGGTTTTTGCAGGAAAAGAGACATGCTTCCGTCACGGTGCAGCCGGCTGTGCGCTATCACTCTATTGGGGGTGAATCCCAGGCACTTCCCAAAGAGACTGTTCATATTCTTGTGACGGACGCTAATACTGATGCCAATCACGGTCTTGTCCAGAACGGAGAGAGGACGGTGCATTCATACTAGAACCTATGGAAGGTTTAGGAGTGCATCTTCAAAAAAATAAGAATGTTTATGTTCATAAAATTTGCAGCGTGCAGTTCATTGGCGCAGAGGGAAAATAGGATAAGTGATAAGGTGAAAATAGCATGCTTATAAGATAATATACATGATATTTAGTGAAAATAGCATGCTTATAAGATAATATGCATGATATTTATTGAGTGGTCTTACTGAACAGTATGTCTTACATAGACCATGTGGTTTCTTTCGTATCTGTATCATTGACGTCTCTAGTATATCTACCTCCAAGTATCTTAGGATTTAGTACCTCGAAGACCAGCTTGTCCAATCACAGGTAATCCATAGGATATTGATATAAGCTCGCGGAAGCAATCGCTGCGTTCAAACAAGAGCACACAGGCTATAAACAGCTAATACACTTTACCAGCTCGCCAGTCGTGCTCTTACAGACGACCTAGACCTATGAATCCATCCGTGAATCCATCTGCGAAGCCGCAGATTCCGTCTATATCTCGGAGGGTCCTTGAGTACGTGCAGAATGACAGGGCCCTTCTCCCTGAATATATCTCAAAGCCCCGAACGCTTGATGTTGACCTTGTGTTAGCGTCAACGCATTGTAAGGACTATCGATCAATCTCTGGCCCTGCGATGAGAGTCGTATGTCGGGATTGAATATATCTAGAACACACAACGCGGCCTTTAAGAAAAGATTAACCACTGCACCAAAGCTAACCAGCACTTTGGGAGGGCTTAGATTGACTGATATCCCAACAAATGAAGAAGCAAGGACGTATGCAAGCGTATAACTATAGCCCAGTAACCAGAGCAGTGCCCCAGGCACATTATCCGCGGTAAGCAAAGCGGTGAGCCAAGCATCGCAGAAACCGCAAATTTGCCACTCTCCACCGCCCTGTCGGACAGCAAGCGATACCGAGAATGGTTTAGCTTTGTTTACATCCAAGGTCCATCCGGGCAACAGGCCAAAATAATCACCATCAACGTTTGCTTGGTCATATCACACCGAAAAATCCTCGCATATTTCCCCTGTTTTCTTCGTTTACAAAGTGGATTTACTTATTGAGACCGGTTGCTGGAATTGATCTTCTGATATTCTGCCACTGTCCTGGCCATGCCGACAGTTCTCTCTCCTTTGGCGTCTTCGCGCCAGAACTCGCGGACGCAATCGCCGCGCGTCAGCGACCTGGGTGTGGATAAGTCTGGGAACTACGAAGATGAGAATAGTGCCTTCTCGAGTCCGAAGAAGGCGGTTGACGATTATACCAACGCGAACGATCAAATGAGCTACGACGCTGCGTATGAGTCCGGAGCCGACCGAGAGCACATAGACGAGTCTGCGCACGTCACTTCGAGCTCCCCCTCCATGTACGATGCCCCCGAGCGAGTTAGCGACTTCCAGCCTCTTCGGAACCGCCAGCTGTCGGCCGCTACTACTGAACTCTCTGCGACGCCGAGGAAGCGCTCTTATGAAATCTTGCCGGGGGATGTAGGGGTGGATGAGGATACGGATGAGCGCCACAAAAAGGGGAAGGATGACTCCGAGATTAGTATCTTTGCAGATGAAGATTCTAGGATCGCCGAGAATCAGGACTTTGACATGGCTAGAAAGGACATCGGGAACAGTGTTTTGGAAGAGAAACTTAACGAGGGGATGAGCTCCGTGCTCCAGAGGGATCATGACGAAGCCTCCGGGGAAAGAGAAAACACCGACCTACAGGAAAGAAACGACGATCCAGATACTACAATGGACGACTCATACGACGCTATGGAAGACACCCATCTCAGCACCTTTTCCGCCGTTCCAAATGTTGACATGACTTGTTTTGCGGACTTGAAGAGAAACTCGCCCACCAAAGGTGCAGGTCCTCTCCCCAAGAGTCCTAGCAAAGTCGACGACTTAGGGGTTTCTACTCCGCCGAGAAAGTCGCCGCGGAAAGGCACTCTCCTCGATTTCAGCTCCCCTGCTGCCTCGCCCACCCCCAGGAAGAGAGAACCGAGAGACCTTGAACGGGGAAGTGGCACCCCAAATCTACTTGACATCGCAGATCAGCACGATTTCTTTCCGCGTAGGCGGTATAGCGTTCAGAAAGAACGGTATTCCCCGTCGCGGAGATCACCGTTGCGGACCGTCCGCGAGTCACTCCGATCCCCTGCCAAGATCTCGTTGCTCGACTTTGACATTCCCGCCGCGCCGACGCCCCGATCGATTCCGACGGTGACGCCTCGCGAGTTGGAGTCCCTGAAGTCAGGGTTCATGTCGGAGATTTCGTCCCTCAAGGCCACTCTCAGCGGCAAGGAAGCAGAGGTGGCCAGTCTGAAGCAGGCCATTGCCGATGCTGAACGACGCGTCGGCGAAGCTTTGGAGGAGGTTCGCAACGAAGCTGCCCGCAAGGAGGCGCTAGAGATCGACCAGGCTGAGTGGCAGCGGCGGGGCCAAGAGATGGAGGACGTTCTCCGGACCGTCAGGGCAGAGATCGTCGAGGGCGAACAAGAGAAGGAGAGACTGCTCCAGAGGGTCGAAGAAGCGGAGAAGAGCAGAGATCAGCTCGAGAGCCGAGTGGTTGAGATCGAGACGCAGCTGACTGCCGCCCGTAGATCCGCACCCAGCGACGTGGGCAGCTCTGAACGCAGCCGAACCGCGGAGGAGACTGCCAACGAGGTGCAGGATGCAGTCGAGAAGGTCGCCCGCGAGCTCCACACGTTGTACAAGAGCAAGCACGAGACCAAGGTTGCCGCCTTGAAGAAGAGCTACGAGGCACGCTGGGAGAAGCGGGTGCGCGATGCGGAGAAGAAGTTCAAGACCGCTGCGGAAGAAAATGAGCGCTTGAAGGTCGAGCGCGACCACGCGATGTCCGAGGCTGCGCGACCCGACTCCAGCTTGCTTGTCCACGAGAAGGACGAGCACGAGGCTGACAAGCGAGTGCTCGAGGCGCAGATCAAGGGACTTCAGCAAGAAATGGCAGCGCTCAAGGACGACGGCGAGCGGGTGCGCATGGAGTTGAAGATGGAGCGGGCGGAGAAGGGCGAACTGGTAGCAGCCGTGGACGAATGGCTCTCGATCCAAGCGCAGCAGCAGCAACCTCCCGCACCGAGCGAGACCCAATCCCCCCCTCCCTCCCGCGAGATCGAATCCCCCGAGCCCGTCGAGAGCGAACCTGCCGTGGAGGCGCCTCGACGGAGTGTCAGTGTCAGCCGTGGGGGACCCAGCGGGATCCGACTCCCCAGCACGGGAGTCACCCCGGGAGGGGAGAAGAGGGTGCCGAACAAGATCCCCACCCCGGGCAACCGACACGGCCGTGGGAATAGCGGCGGCAAGTCGGGGATTGCGGTGTTTACGCCGGGACGGGCGGGCATTATGGGGTCGATCGAGCGCATGGGACGTGGGGCTTGAGGGGGAGAATTCGACGATGAACGTTCTGTTATGATTTTATGTTTTCATGTTCCCATGGCGTTTTCTTCTTGACGGTCTACATGTGTGGATTTATTTCTTACTCTTATTTTTTTCACATTGTTTTGTTTAGGATGGACGGTATACCAAACCGCCATTCCATCTATTATCTATTATTTTATTAAGATATCCTGCAACCGTGATTTGTCCGATTACATCATTCTCCAGAATATTGCTCGTCGATTCTTGTCTCTCTTCTTCCATCGGTGGATAGATATAGCTATCTAGATAGACCTATGAGAAACTAACTGCCCCGTATTGGACAGCCACACAACAACCGTGCGAGAATACTAATCGGATCTATTTCCAATTCCGTCCTCGTCTTCAATTTGACCCAACAGGGAGGGGCAAGGGGGGGGGAGATAAAATATCGGGTTACCGCCGATGTGACTATTTGACATCGGACCGTAGTCTCCGTGCTGGCTCCCCCCCCTCCCCCGCACGCTCAGATGTCCGGCAGTGGAAGGATCTAGGATCTTGCGGGGATTGTTGGATGACATTGGTGAAATGGTAATCAATTCAGCGGCTAGTCATGCTGGCTGATTGCTAGTGATAATGCATGGACCTGCCTTTTTGTCTTGCTTTCTTGCTGAGATGTATTATTGTAGTAGTCTAGTACTTCAGACTTGGCACTTATGGTATAGACTGTGGGAATTTGTTGAGGAGGTATCTTCTCCTCGTAGTAGGTACTAGAGAGTATGTCTATCTGCTCTCTAGTCTATGCTGCTCCAGATACAACACGATAGACACAAACCCACCGATTGATTCACTCGTATACCCCGTACTCCGCATTACATCCCGAGTCAGAGACAGTCAAGTAAGGTCCAGGCTCAACGCCAAGAAACCCAGGATCGATCCGGGGCCGTCCGGGGAGGCATTTTCGGGGGTGGGAGTTGCTACTAGTATTAACCTGACTCAAATGCCTCTCATTGAGAGGATATAATATCGTGGGAAAAGAATTGATTTGTTCATCTAGACTGGGTCTATTATGTACGAAGTCTGGATGTGCCAAGCTAGTCCCACAGCAGTATCCGTCTTTACTGTCTTGATTGGATCTTGTCTGCAGTTACTTAGGTAAGTCGTTTAATTGGTTTTTAGTTTGAGTTTCTTTTTGATTTCTGTATGAAGTGACTGATTGATTGAGTGGTTTTATCTTCTACTATCTCTTATTGCAATTGTTTTCCTTCCATTGTTGATTGTTGGATTATTCTACCTTGAGGATATCTACCAAAGCAAGTCTCCGATGCCGGAGTGGACCACACCAGAAAAGAATCAACTCCAAAACCCATGACGACATCTTGCATGTCCACCAGCACTATTGAGTAATTTACGGGGTAACACTCTACCTACTTTCTTTGGCCTGGTTTTGATTTAATTTTAATTCGATGTTGGGGACATTCTTCAAAGTTTCAAATCCTCCGGTTTTCGCCAGTATCAAAAACGAGCTAGCCTGAGGTACGAATCTGGACCGCTCCCTTCGACTTCCCGGTCCTCTTATTGGGTTGATCGGGTGTCGTGTGCACTGGCCAGCCATCCCGATGCTTTGGACTGCATTGGGTAGGTTCTTCCGTTGTCGGCACTTTTCAGTATGCAAGGTTTGAAGGTACCTAGTCTGGTGCTCTGGATGGAATGCTCACATGGAAGGGATTCGTTATCTATTGATCTGATCATGATTTGATTTATGTATCCATTGGTTATTCCTCTATTCATAATTAATGAATCCAGCATA